TTGACTCAAAAAAAATTTCTCATTTTTAAAAATATTATGAGATAATTTGGCTAAATATTAAACACGTGCAATGAGACCACTGAAGTAATTGTTTGTCTAAAAGATTGAAGCCCGACAAGTAGGCAACTCTATCTCCAGGTATGGGTTTGACTAAATTTTTCTTTATTTATTTGCACTCATTGTTCTATTTTTGTTCTCTGTGATATGTACAATACACTTATTTGCACTCTATATATATACAAAAATAATGAAATGTGATATTTTAACCATTTATATTATATGGTGCAAAAGATTTGAGAGACAAAAACAAGTAAGTCTAGGTCTAATGAATATGAGTAAATTCACTATACTGAGGCATTCAACAAGCTGTTAACGTAGAGTGCAACCTAAGGTCCAAAACTCCTCTCAGTTATATATGGTTCAAGAGAGGGTCCAAAGCTCCTTTGTCCATACATTTAGTTGGTACAAACTACCAAAACAGAAACTAATTGGCCTAACCTCTTGGGCATTTCCCATCCTCAATCATCCAAAAAAAAAAAAAAAAAAATTCCCATAATCTTGCATGATCCACGTACCACATGTGTTTAGATAGGATAGATTAATGAACTTAAAAAATTGCAAAACTAGTTTTTCTTTTCTCTTTTAAAGGGGAAAATTTTTAAAGAAAAAAGGGAATAGGGTTGAAGCCATAGATGAACATAATCTTTTAAGGTTGGATTTATATATAATACATGCCATTAGACTATTAAAGTTAGTCCACATAAATAAATAAATAAATATATATATATATATCAATTCAAATAACTACAACCCTTGAATATGATCACATTTCTATCCAACAATCATATATATTCAAAATAATTATGATTATTTAAATTTTAGTTCGACTTATAAAATACTATTATCTTTTATAATTGAATGCATACATTAACTATTGATGCCTAAATTAGTATGCTTGCGGGAGACAAATACTCCTTTTATTAACTTTTAATAAACTTAGTGAGACTTTTTTATTTTTAAAATATAAATTTTAAATAAAAATTTAATGATGTATATAAAAATAATTAAAAAATTATTTCCTTATAAATAGTTTTTATTAAGTATTTTTATTTAATAATTTATTTAATAATTATTTATAATATTTTAAATTTTTATATAAAATTTATATCTTAAAAATTTTTAAAAAAAAAACTAAATTATATCTACTAAAAATTTAAAAAAGTTGGAGTAGATATTAATAAGAAACATGAGGGGACCGTAGGGACATTAACAATAACATATGATCCCCGATATCATATGGCCGAACCCAAGTGGCCAAGCTCTTACCATTATGGTTGGCTTCACAAGATTCTCCTTGTCGACCCCTCTAACTCTAATGAGATTTGTACAAATCGAAGAATACAAATTCTTGACAAAGACGATATGTTTTTTGCTTTGTTTTCCTATTTCAGAAGACACAAAAGACGCAATTCCAGACAAGTTATATAAAAAATAGAGGACCAGATACTTCCATCTATTTATAAATAAGTACTTTTTTATAATTAATATTTTAATGTCAGTAATTAAAAAAGTTAATAAGTAATTAAAAATACAATCCGTTCTGATGCAATAGAATGAAATCTAAATTACGACAATTTTGTTACGTATTCAAACTCTACAAATGCTTTAGCTTTTTTATTTTTCAAATAAAAAAAAATAAATTAAAAACGTCAAAAAAATTAAAAAAATATATTTTATAATATAACACAACCTAAATCATTATATCAAACTACAAAATAAACCATCCCGTCTAAAAAACAGACAGTCGCGTTCTAGCGCGGCCACCCAACATTGACTGAAACAGACCAAGAATTCTCCACCGCCAAGCCCCACATTTTTCATGCTTTATGAAGAAAGTACAAACCATTTTACATCACGTCTTCATTATCTTCAACATCAACCGCCCCACCCACAAAACTCTTCATCCTCCAATTCAATTATTACACAAAAATATCTCAAAACCCAATAATTTCTACTAATGATAGGATTTATGAGTAAATCCTAAAGAAAAACAAAAAAAAAAAAGATTTCAAATTAAATAAAAATTGAATATGAGTAATTTCCTAGACTGTTAATGGAGGAGTTGGAGCATTCTCAATTTTCTTCATCTGAATCCCATTCTTAAGTGAATCATCATTATCATGGTAAACGTATGCAAATCCTCCATGCCGGGTAATATCCATTCCCGCCATTTCATCCTCCGCCGAGATCCGGAGGAGCTTTAGCTTGTGGAGGATGAAAAACAGGGTTCCCATGGTGGCGCTCACAAATCCGGTGATTACTAGAATTTGTATGACGTGAGCTGCCAACAGCTTACCTCCACCGCCCATGAATAGTCCGTACCTGGGTGGCCTTGATGGGTACACTTCTTTAACGTACTTCTCTGTTGCGAACAGCGCCGTGAATATTACCCCCCAGGCTCCGCAGCCGCCGTGCAGTTGCGCCGCCTCTAATGGGTCGTCGTATTTGAACTTCTCTGCCAGCATGTTGCAACCGATCAAGACGAGGGATGCCACGAACCCGCATATGATGGCAGCCCATGGCTCCACCACGGAGCATCCGGCGGTGATGGCAGCGAACCCACCGAGCAGGCCGTTGCACACATCTGTGACGTTCCAGTGGCCTGACAGAATTCTCTTCCCGAAAAGCGTGGTGAGTGCCGCAGTGCAACCGGCTAATGTGGTGGTGACGGCTGTTCTGCCAACGCCGCTCCATTGACCGTAGTAGTAGCCCGGGGAGTCGGGGTACGTGACAGAGATTTTGTTGAAAGATCCCGGGTTGAACCCGTACCACCCAAACCAGAGCATGAAAGTTCCAATGACGACGAGTGACGCACTGTGACCCCGTAAGGCGATTCCTCTACCGGAGTGGTCGAATCGGCCGATTCTGGGTCCTTCAATTAGTGCGCCCCATAAACCGGCGATACCTCCGACCATGTGGACCACACCGGATCCAGCAAAATCAATGACCCCTGAACCAAATAGGAAATCACCATTAGTATTAAGAGCGCTCGCCCACCCATCGCCGGACCAGAACCAGTGAGACACCACCGGGTAGACAAATCCGGTTAGGAAGGAAGAATAAATCAGGTAGGCTACGAACTGGGTTCTCTCCGCAATGGACCCGCTGGTAATTCCTGCGGCCGCAATCGCAAAAGCCCACTGGTAAAGAAAATTGCTGTAATCAATCGACGACGAGGGAATCGATTTCAGGGCGAAATTATGGCTGCCGATAAACCCATTTGATGGGCCGCCGAAGGCGAAGGCAAATCCGAAGAGGTAATAGAACAAGCCCCCAGTAGCAGCGTCGAGGACGTTGGTGAGCATGATGTTCATGGTGTTTTTAGCGCGAACAGAGCCAGCGCAGAGCATGGCGAAGCCGAGCTGCATAGAGAAAACGAGATATGCTGAGAAAAGGAGGTAGGTGTTGTCGATGGCATAAGCGGTGCTGGTGAAATTGTTGGAGACGGAGGTGAACTGCCCGCAGATGTAGGTGGCGGCGGCGGTGGCGTTAGGGCCAAGGAGTTGGGAGAGCTGGTCCGCGGAACAGGACTGGGAGGCGGCCATGACTGAAACAGGGGAAGTTCAGTGAGAAAGGGAGAAGCAGGGGAAGAGTTAATTTATAAAAGGAGAATATCGCTCACGATCCTTTTTTTTAAGGAAAATAATTGAATATATA